CAAGGATTCGTTGTTATAAACATAAAGAAAGAAAGAAAAGTTCAAAACACATTGAGGAAGAATTTGTTGGCTTAACGATGACAAGACTGAAATGGCTCGCGATTATTCAACGACATGGAAGATTTATTCTCATATTCATCAGTTTCCATTAATTATTCAACTGATGCTGCTGTTGTCTCTCTATATTTCTGTGAATTGAATTTCTCCATGTTTCTAAATTGCTCTAACGCATCCGATCATATAATAATAATCTCGTTCATTTAATTCGATTACATCCGCGGGGCATTTTGCAGCGAAAGTGCAACTTCACAGACTTACAACGTGTGCCTTTGAGGCAGCTGATAATATTAAAGTTAAGTAACTGTAAGGCATTAAATTATTCGTCTCGGATGCGAACTCTCGGGATTACTTACCGAATCTTCCGCGAAGTATCGTGGAAGCCTTTTACGTCAGTTTTGTAATGAATGAAGTATTCTACTGCGGACTCACGCGAAATGATTTTCTACCACAGTTGAAAATCTCATCCGCGCTTCTTGCGAACTGTCGTGCATTATCGATGCCGCGAGAACAAAACTATCTGGAATACCTACGCGACGATAAATTACGCTTCTCTTCGATCGCGATGCGTTGCGAATACATGCATATAGCGGACGAAACATCGGGAAGAAAATACACGTCCGATCTTGAAATGTAGCCAAATCCAGTTTCAGACAATCGGGGGATTCCTATTGTCTGAAATATGCGCTATCCTTCTGTTAAAATAGATTTTTGTGGAAAAATTTGTAACGCGTCATATCACTCGAAGTGAAGTTTTATCCGTTAAAGTCAGAAATTTTCTACATTCAATTCCGCAATTACTCGAACTTAAAAAAGACCAATGGAGAATCTCGAAATACAATATTGCGTAAACAACGTTGTACTTTCGTGGCGTTGTATTTTTGCCAGTGTCAATGTCAATGCCACAGGTAAATGTCTAAAGTACCAGGGCGGATCAGTCAGGAGTCAGGAAGCTGCATCGAGAAATCAGGACGAGAGAAGTAGGATATCGGAACGCGGGCAATAATACGTCGTATATATTTTTAAGTATGTTATTGGGTTGGCAACTAAGTGATTGCGGATTTTAAATAAGAATGAAAATTCAAAATTTTTAATTTGCTTTTTTAAATTTTTTTTCAATGCATGTATGCGATATATTGAGCTTCTCTGCAATATCACGTGTTGTGCTATGACGATCTGAATCGATAATGGCCTTGATATGGGTCTCATCGACTTCAACTGGACGGCCAGATCGTTAAGCATTTTTCAATGAAAAATCACCAGAACGAAATCTGGCAAACCAATTTTGACACTGCCTTTCTTTCAAGGCTTCATTCCCATATACGGCACATAACTTCTTGTGTGCTTGCGATGCGTTCTTGCCTTTTCGGAAATAATACAATAAAATATGTCTGAAGTGCACGTCTTGCTCTTCCATTTTTAAATTGGGATAAAAACAAAACTAAACAACTAATCGACATAATTTTTGTACTAAATGAAAGATAGAAGTCCAAACAATAAGAAAAATATATAGGTTAAGTACTTTGAACACGTTAACGAAACAAAAGAAAGTGTAAAATCCATCTGTCGACAAAATCCGCAATCACTTAGTTGCCAACCCAATACATTATTTATTATGTAGAACATTTCCGACTGATATTTGACGAATTTATCAAGGATAAAAGAATATCTGAGTCGAAATTTAAATCGACATTTATATATAACTCATCGTCACTGGACAAATTGTAGATTGACAGTTTCAGACATCACTTTATGAATCTTTACTCGTCAATTTCATACTTATTTTACAAAACAAGAAATATTTATCTCAATAGTCGAATAACGCTTCATAAATATGAAAGTCTATAATTAATTATTTTCAATATAAGATCGTAAATATGCGGTAATTTGGAATATCGACTTTAGCATTTGGTATAAATTTTGTAAGCATTACTTTGTACATCCAGTGATAATGTCTTTTTAACCACAAGGCATCCTAGTTTGGATTTATCACGTTTTCTTGCTCACTACTGCTTGGTCCATCGAATCCAAATATAAATCTATTGCTACACACAGTATTATTGGACATTTAGTTCTTATTTCTGCTTTTATAACTTGATCTTTATCAACGTTTTTGAAAGTTTTGAATTCCATCAAGACTTTCAAAAGAAAAAAAAAAAAACATGATAAAAATAAAAATTTATTGCTTCTTTCATTCGTTTGTATCTTGATCTTTATTAGATTATTATAGAGATTTATTAGATTATTTGTTCATCTCACGTATTCTATTTGCAACTAAGTAATCAATACTTTGTGATCATAATTAAAAATAAAAATTGAATGCAGATAGAATATTCTGAAATAATCGAATGTTAAATAATTCTGAAATGAGTCTTTCTTCAAGACATTCAACAAGGAACGACACTCGACATGAACGACATAAATGATATTAACAAATTTATCCATAGTATCAAGAATAGGACAGTAATTTGTATAATGTTACATTTTGACATTCTCCATTTGTTCAAGTTCAGCAGAATTTGCAGATTTAATGTTAGAACAAAATTTCGACTCAGTCACTGCTTTTCAATCTTGCAACTTCAATCTTCTTCTAATTTCATGAATTCTTAATTGACTGCATTACATTATTATTCTCACTCTCTTCATAAGATTCGATCTTTTCGTCAAAACTGCAGAAATATTTCCCGAGGAAACGTTAATTTATTTTTAATTATTACGTGGATAAGGTGCAGAATATATTATTGTTTGAGCAAGCAATATAATAAAAATATTGATAAACACAGCACGAGCGTGCTTTAGGCCGGACCATGCGCATGCGTTTGGCTCGGCCAAATTTCGATTAACGCTTATCAAACATCCAGCATGCGACACGTCGCGATAACAATCCCTTGTGTCGTCTATTTTTGACGTGTTGGCAACTTTTCGGATAATTGTTGTCGTTAGTTCTAGCGCATGGTGAATTTTTAGTGCCGATAAATCCCGTCCGCGTGACACGAATCCGTCCGCTATCAAACAAAAGGGTAAAATTCTCTCTGAAAATCGAGAGGTCTCGTATACCTCGGAGTATATTGTATTTATTTTACCACGTTTACTCACCACACGAGAATCCCAGCCTTTACGTACCGTCCAGCGTCGATCTTTATGTATCTTATAGAACCAACTTTGCAAAATTGTCGCTCTCGCGTCGTTACCTTCCTTCCTCTAGAATCCTCGATTTTGTTAAATAAGGATGAATTATATATATATATATATATATATATATATATATATATATATATATATATATATATACGGCGGGAGATTTTCATCGTGGGATGTATGTAGCCGCCGAAAACAAGCCGCGAAATAAGTTAACTCTCCTATACTCAGCCAGTCTTGAAATGTACACCCGTACATAAAGTGGACTTTGAGGTTCAACCGCGCTGACCGCAAGGTGATTTCGCAAGCTCGCAACGCGAGCTTCCCGACGTCGCAATATTCCCAATTTTCACATCCCAGCCGTTGCGCGTATTAGAAGAGCATGATATTCATAACGCGTTCGTGCGCGCGCAACGACATTGTTATGTGAGGCGAACTTAGGATATATTGCGACTCTTTGAAGTCTCACTGTGATGAGAGAGCGACAGACCGGCAGAAAAGGTTGTAATTAATTATAAAGCATCCGAGGACCCGCGTGAAACGAAATATATAATACGGCGCGAGAAGCACAAGAAGTGTGCCTTTAAAGCTGCTCGTTATTTGTACCGGTGTCGTTTGATAATGTCATCAGCATACGGTAATAACAGCGAAGCTGACCTTTGTACACAGATATGGATACTCGCGTAAAACTCGCTCGAATGTAGCTCGTGACCTCGCGCCGGGGAACAGTCTACGTATATTTCGACGTGGGCTCAAGATGGGGGAGGGAGGGGACGCGACAACGAGAATAGATGATTTTTCATATCACGGAGTATATAAAAATCAAATTAGACGAAATTCTCGACACAACGGTCAGTCGCGGTTATCTGCGGCCACGTCGCTCGGACGCACACGACATTTTAAACACAGACGTGTTTAATGTTTAAACATTAAACATTAAACGTCTAATTTCCACTGCGGGACAGTCGGCAATACAAAATGGATGTTTCATATTTTTCACCTTTACCCGGCAGTCCGGCATGCGCGATGTAAAAGCCCAAAATCGAACTGTGTGAAACCGCGAAATGTTGTCAGCCTCGCTTCCGGATGGTTGGCTAGGTAACGAGGCCATGAAAGAAGAGGCCGGTTTGCAAGCTATAGCGGACGTAAAGCGAATTACGCGCCGAGTGACGGATGGTCCTAGAGTCCTGCCGCGATTGCCGCGCGAAGCGGGAATACAAAACTTCACAGCCGGGGAAACGTCGTTTCGTATCTCCGTCAACTCCATACGCGCGATTGCCTCTTCTCTTCTCTCAGCGATTACCTTATCCTCCCTTCCTTCTGCTTCCTTCTGGTCGGGAGAGAAGGAAAAAAAAAAGGGAAACACGAATCGGACTAGTCAAAGTGACTAAGCGTAAAACGAATTCGACGTTTGTTTGATCGTTGCAACTTGGCGGGATTATGCCTCGCCTCCTCTCCCGCCGACGTCACCGTCCTACACCCCTTCGTCCACATCGTTCTTCCAGCATAACTCTCGTACCGTGCCTCTCTCGCGTCGCGCGGCCCTACTATCCCTCCGGGCGGCACTTTATTCCACTCTCGCCCCGACGTGAAGTGGGTGGGCCGCGCGGGGTCGATGGGTGCACAGGGGCGAGCGCGGCGGGATGCGGTGGCAGGCCGTGGGAGTCGAGCGCCGCGTTCTCTCGGCGAGGGTTGCGTGGGTGTAAGGGCGGCGGACGCGGAGGGGGGGGGGAGGAGTGAGCGGGCGCGAGCGTGGAAGGGGTAGATGGTCGTTTCCCCACCGCATCCCCCACTTCGCCGAGCGCCGCACGGACGCCAGCGTCGAGCGCTTTCGAGTTTCGAGACGTTAAGGCCGACACTCGCGTCGCGCACCTCGGCCCGACGACGTCGCCTGTGAACGCGGAGGCACACGTGCGTAGTCGACGACAGGTCGACCTGGTCGAGCAGCGACTCCTCTCCCCCGCGGCGAAAGCTACGATCGCGCGGTAGGCTTTTCTGAGTCGGGGGGTGATCGCGCTCCGCGCGAACCACGTTCACTACGCTCTCTACGATCGAGGCACAACCTCGGTGAAGTGTCTCGTGGTTCGTAAACGACCATGAGAACGACGTGGACGACCGATCCTGCCGATCTCGTATTTCGTCGCGCCCGTCGTCCGAGAGAGTCGTGAGAGAGCTGCCTTCCAACCCCCCTCCAACCTCGCGACACGTGTCTCGCGACAGTTGTTATGTGTATGCCGCGGCGGGAAGGAGGGTGAATTATCGCGGAGCACGCGAGTGAGACTGAGACGTCTGGGAGTCCCCTCTGTGATCTGCCTCGCTGGTAGGTGTCCGACAAGTTCCTCCGATGCGTCTTTGGTCGGGGGGTGTAAGTTGCACGTGGTGGGAACTCGACGATCTCTGACAAGAGCCTCGCGGCGGACCGGACAGGGAGCTGCGCGCGTCAGTCAGCTAGAAGAGCGAGAAGGAGCGAGGGGATATTCATCGTCGAGACGAGTGGCCCGTCTGGCCAAGGTTACGGACGACGAGGATCATGAAGAAATCGTACTTCATCTTCGTGAGTAGCAAAGTTTCTTCTTTCACACGGAATAAGCGGCGCGCGATGGCGATTATTACGGCGATTAGCGGTCACGTCAAGCGCGCCGGCCAAAGGCGAGAAGAAGAATTCTCTTTTCAGCGGTCTGCCCTTTCATTTTTTCGCTGCTTTCTCTCGTCCCTCAGGGTCCTCAGGGACCCGACCCGAGGATCGTTGTCACCCGGGGAGTTAACGGGAAGAGGTCGAATGGACCGGGACCGGGACCGGAACCGGGACCGGGACCGGGCACATTTTACGGTCTTCACAACTCTTGCTTGTTTCGCGAGGAAGATCAAAGGCCACCAGCGTCGCTTTAATCTGCCAATGACGGACATGGCTGCATCTTTCTCATTTCCCTTTGAGTGGCTGAACTTTTGAATCTGCGGTCTCTGGGGGATTTAGGGACGTCCTTCGGCCGTGTGCACCGACGACGTCGTCGTCCTCTACGGTCCAAGAACGGCGAAATTAACGACGTGGCCACGTGACTCGCTCTCTCCCTGCCGCTCCCTCTTTACCTCCCGCGGCTCCCGTAGCAGGGGTTGTGAAGGGGAACGAGGTCAGTCGGTGCACGCGAGCAGACCAATGTCGGTTTCCAGGCTTTTCGGTGCGCACCGGGATATAGAGCTACACGCCGGCTGCGGCTAATTTTGCTTCGTTTGCAGTATGTTCTTAAGATACCATCGCGCTCTCCCGATACGGGTCCAGCCATTTACGTGATTGCGTTCCGAGATTAACACGGTGGCGAGGGGGGAGGGGAGGGAAGAGCGCGAATTTCAAAAAACGCAATTGCGCTTAATTGAGATAACGATCGCCGTGCCAAAAATCGCCCCTCCTCGACCACTCGCGGACGGAATGGCTTGCGTTAGCATTTAGCGGATTTAACGAACGAACGGTAGGTGAGAGAGAGAGAGAGAGAGAGAGAGAGAGAGAGAGAGAGAGAGAGAGAGAGAGAGGGAGAGAGAGAGAGAGAGAGGGAGACACACAGAGGGAGGAATCTTTACAACGTCTTTACAAAGGTCATCCCTCTGCTGCAGTTTCATCGACGAACGCGCGTGCAGTACGCGTGAATCGTAATCTACCGTCTATCGCGGATATTTCTGGTTAAACTCTCTCGTGGTGTGGAGATATATTTTATTCGCTCGAGTCGAATTCATTATTGTCGATCTCGCGTGTTTGCACAATGCACAGCGGTATCTTTGAATTATAGACGAAACTAGCGCGAAATATAAATATTTCCGATGGAGAAAATCAGTGAGAAAGTGATCGTGTCAGGTAGAGAAATAGGGTTGTCCAGCGGGGAGCTGTTGTCGCGCGTTCTAATCGAATCTGTCGAATGCGTCGCTATCAGCGACGGTAATCCTTTATACGACCAAAGACAGCTTACTCGCCGTCGTGTTTTACGAATTTCGGGACATCTCCGCTTGATATAGCGGAAACTTGGTCGAAACTTACGAGCAAACTACGCTGCGTACAATACAAACGAGGAGTTTCCGCGCTCCTTCAGCGGCGGTCTCGAAAGAACTCTGGGGAGCGCAGAACTAAAGTAAGGAGAGCAACGGCCGTACAGCCGGCCGTATTTTTGGCGTTCGGAGCGCAGAATTTATCGGGGCTGCTGGGCGCATCCATTGTTGGCACGCGAATTCATTCACGAAACTTGCCAAATGCTTTCGAGTCAGCTTTTGTGCCGCAATTTTACGACGAGTTTTTCGACGAGACACGCGCTGTTCCCTGCACGGATGTTGCGCCCGATGCGAGAGAGAACTCGAATTATTGTTAATTATCAGCGTCTCCGTTTACTTCGCGGCGTCGCGATATAAACATTTTACCGCGGCCGCGGTTTGAATGCGCGGTAAATTGTTTGCGAAACAGCGTGTGTGCTACATATTACGCACGCACGGAGAGCGACCGTCGAGCTTTCGACGATATTCGAAACGTTGCTGCGCAAACGAGGAAAGAGTTGCTCCGTCTAAACGAAAGAGATTCGATAGCAAGGAGCAAAGTTTCCCCTTTTTTTTCTTCTTCTTTTTCCTTTTACGATTACGCGTCGTTCTCACTGCGCGGCGGAAGAAGAAGCGAGCTCGCCGCTCGCTCGCTCGCTCGCTCTTGAAGAAGTTCACGAACGTTGTGTAGTTCCTGAATATTTTTCCCGCGTCCGCTGTATCTTTACGGGGATCTTCCTGTCTCGTACAAAATTTTCCACCCTATTCCGAGACGCCAGTGTAAACCGCCGAAGCAAGGAAGCGGAGCGAGAATCTGTACAATGTGAGGATCTTTGTTTCTTCTGTCGTCGGATTTTCTCACTCTCCTGCGGAAAAGAAACAGCGCCGGCGGGAGGGCGTTAAGGGACAGACGGAAAGGGTCAGAGGAGCGATCGAGCGACTTCTCTCGACACGATGTCTCGAGTATATGCCTTATTGCCTGCCGATTTCACGCGGACAACCCTAAGGCATTGCTCTGTCGTCATCTCCGCCTCCTCCCCCGCCCCCCATTGTCGAACCTTGCTCACTCGTCGCGGTTCATATCTCCGTCCGTGTTTCAGCTCGCCTCTCCGGCTGAATACCTGCGAAGAACCTACGAAAGATTGAGCGCTACGCGAAAAATGCCGCGGTGCAGTCGGTACGGGCCAAATATTCATAAATAGTAGAAGCATTGAGAGAGATGGAGAAGAGAGAGAGAGAGAGAGAGAGACAGAGAGAGAGAGAGAGAAGAAGAAGAAGAGAAGGAGAAAGAGCGGCGCCAAATGCAACAAACGCGAACAATGATTATTAGGGTATATTGTATTTACCCGACGAGGTATATACCTGAAGAAGTAGAGAACGGGAAGGGACGAGAGCGCTTTTAGTAGCGCATTATGCCTTTCAATGAACTATATTAAGGGTTTCCTCCCCGTGGTGAATTGCCAGCCGACTTAAGCCGGCTGCGATACGTCAGACTTTCATCTCGACAGAGCCATACAATGATTCCGATATTCTTGAACATTTTATCGCGTCGGGTCCTCTTTTCCTCGACGGCTATTTTTTCACGGTAGATTTCTCTCTCTCTCTCTCTCTCTCTCTCTCTCTCTCTCCGTCTCTCATACGGCGAAGGTGCTTCACGCGGCACTGTGGCCAGAATGGTGGCTTGTTTCGATGGAATATGATTTTTAATAATAGTAATTTCCAAGGCGCCGGAGTACACATCGCGCAATTAGCGAACTACGCCGCCAGCGCAGGCTTAGAACTTTAATATTTCCGCACGTGGAAACTCCTGTTAGTTCTAGAATTCGCGATTCCGAGGCAGACGGTCGGTATACACTATATGTGTGCCGGTGTGTATGGTGGAAAGGGCGGCGAATGTAACAAGTTAAGCAATGCGTACATTTGCGCATACATTCCTCAGACGCGTTTAAAATAATGTATTTGCGTCTTCTTCCGCGGAATGGTCATCCGTGTATATATATATATATATATATATATATTATATTATACGTCTGTCTGTTCGTTTGATTTTTATTAGAGAACTGTCAACGCGATAGCACGGATTTTTCCAAGGTTGACATCGTGACTGCTTGCATCATAACCTGCTTGCGATATTCTCTTTTGCAACTTTCTACGCAGAGAGATAAAGAGAGAGGAAAAGAGAGAAATAGACACATAAATTCTAACGATGTAGTATCGCACGACCGTTCGAGCAGTCTTCGTGACGCGAGGTATCTCGAATAAAATTCAACGCGGAACGTAAGAATTAGTCTAACAGAAATTACGAACCAAACGCCCGGCCTGTCTCTCTCTCTCTCTCTCTCTCTCTCTCTCTCTCTCTCTCTCTCTCTCTCTCTCTCTCTCTCTCGCGCCAAAGGTCTTCCTTACAGACCCGCAAAGGAATGTAGTATTTCCATAAAGTTGCACAATAGCGCGCCGATGCCGCGAACTTTATGCATTTGGAAGATTACATCTCTTTGACGGGGACGCGCGCGCGAGCACGGCTGAAAAGAAAACATGGGTGTTTTACCGCGTGGAAGAGCACTAGGGGCGGACGGACGCGTCACGGAGACAGGGAGAAAATGCGCCAACGAGTGCTCGCCGCGAGTAAAAAGGCTACTTTGCAAAAACAAACGCTCAAGCGAGAATACTTTCGCTTCTTATCGATTTATCCTGGGATATGTCTCGGAAACTAAAAGCGATATATTTCCTGGCTTACCTACGATGCAAAATGTATTCTAATAAGTGAGAGATACATACCTCTTAAGGATGTACAGAGGACTCCTCCTCCCTTCTTCCTCTCTTCGCCACTGGAAAATACGCGAAAACTTTAGGTGATGCTCCACCCTCATTCACCGTCTCTGTGTCCCCAAGAAGAATTTCCTCCACACTCACTCTCATACATTCCTAACTCCTCCATTCCTTCCTGGTGGCTTCCTCGCTTTTTGAAAAACTCCCCGTGCGCGTAAACAAATTTTCATCCAGTTTACAAGGATAATCGCGATCTCGGGAGAAAAAATGCTCCCATTCGTAATACAAGCGAGTTGTTGACTTTCTGTCCGCGATTAAGGAGAAAAATAAAACAAGTCCCCGTTACATGGTGCTGCACAAGGGTCCACCACTAGATCCTTCAGAGAGCGCTTCGTTGTGCATCGCTGTAACGAATGCAACGCTCGTAACGCTATTTACGGCAGACTACAGCAGAAACGGTGGATAAGAGCGCGCGAGCAAGTGCGAATTTAATTTGACCTAATCTAAAAGTACTCGACCTGCCCCGGACCTGTTCTCCTCTCACCAGTGGGAGAGGTCGCGAGGCATTTCTGCCGAAATTTTCCGCGTGTCGCATCAGCCTCGTGACGGACTCGGTCGCGATCGGCCGTGCGATTACTTGAACACGGGGTTATTTGAATACGCCCCTGCTCGTTTGCGTCGCGCACGCGAAACGCCAACGACACGCGCTTCGGGAAAAGCGTTCCTCTCGCCTCCTCGCTCCTGATGGGAGCGTGCTGCGCGAAGGTCGATTAT